GTTAAGTACAATTAAAATTGCTTTAATTTCTTAAATTGAAAAATGAATGGTTTGGAAATCTAGAAGAAGATTATGTTCAAATACATATTTTTTTTAGTTTACTTGTAAAAGATTTTCTTATAAAAATTACAGAGATTTTTGGAATTGATTAAATAATATCAAAACATAATCATTTTGGTATTATTTTCAGTTTATTGAAAAAAAAAAAAAATTAAAATATTCGTTATTAAAAAGAAAAAACTGGAATAATTTACAAGCCATTTTAATAAATTAATAAATAACAAATCTTGATTAATTTGAAAATTTGGCCCCTCATTTCAATATGAAGAGGACAACAATTTTGTTTTTAATACGTTTAAAAAAATAATTGTATTTAAAATGATATTAAATTGAAATTATTAAATTCGGATTAAAGCTACGCTTTGTCAAGCATACTACAATTCTTTTAAAACAAAAAATAGAAATATTTTTGTTTTTCAAAATAATTTTCTACTCAAATTTTAATCAAAATACACTAAAATTGTGTTATATGCAATTAAAAAAATATTGCATAATTTTAGGGGAAATATTAAAAATAGCATATATATATATAACAATCGAACTCGGCACCTAATTTATAAGGAAAATAATAACAATTTTTTTTGAGGGCAAGATATTATACCGTTATTTTTTTGTTTTCGAAAAAATTTTACGATTTCGGGAAATTAATAAGGAGAAAATTGAAATTGTACTATTTTTTTAGAGATATGAAAACTAAAAGTGGAAGAAATGTATATTTATGGATTAAAAATTTTTCTTAAGATAAAATAAACCGTTTTTGATCTAGTTACATTAATTTCTTAAAACAGTTAGATTTCTACAACTTATTGCCCAAGAGAAAAACAATGTCAAATATTAAAAAGAAAAAGTAGGTTTAAAATATAGTGTTCAATTTCATAGTGGTTGTTTCGTCATGATTTTGTTATTTATTTATATCTAAATCATTGTTGTTGAAACTAGTTGCTATTTTTTTAACGTTAATTTAAAAAAATTGAGAAAAAATTGGATTTTTTAAGACTTTATTGTACCATAACTTTAAGGGGGGAGAAGAGGTTAGTAAAAATTTTCTGTTAGAAAAAAACCTGTATAAAATTTCAGCTCTTTATCTCTTTATCTAGGCTAATGGATGGACAAACGGGCAGGCAGAAACTAGTGAAAATATTTCTTTCCAATAATTGGAAATGTACTAAAGTATCAAAATGTCTGCAATATACTTTAAATCTCTACAGTCTACAGAAAAGTAAAAAAAACTAATTTTGATAATTTCAACTTTGAAACTTGAAAATTTATTCCGATCATAAAATATGGCGTATAATGAGCGACAAAATATAAATATGCATATACTTAACAAATAATTTTTCGAATGTAAACCATAATTCAGACATTTTATTAAAAAGATTATTAAATGAAAGTAATATGGTGGACTAACATAACATTGGTAACAAAATTTATTGCAGATGATTGTTTAATTTTAACGACATCTTGAAATTTGAACGATAGAACGTTTATAGAACATTTTAAAAAAAATAATTTATTATTATGAATATTTATTATTTAGCAATAAAATTTTTTTATATAATACTTCAGGATTCAATAAGGTACACATTGACAAAATTACAGAATTATGTAAGAAAACCATGGAAATTCGAAATTACAAGCTAGTTGCACCATTTTATGTAAATATAGTTTTAAGACATTACCACAGATTTATTTAACAAAAACTATTATGAATTTGAGCTTTAAGGATCAATAATCTCTAAAAATTTTTTAACAATTTAATATATTTTTTTATTAATTCGATATATATGTAAATTATGAAATATTCCTCTTTGAATAATGCATTTTAATTGAATATAAGTATACATAATGAGTCACACACTAATTTCTTCAGAATCATTAAATAAAAAATTTCTTCATGCCATTAAATTCATTAAATTCATTGTGTACAATGACCATTTAATTACTTTTCAAAAAAAAAAACTATATTTAATTTTTTAAGTTTATGATGGTTACCACCCTGTGTATACACCTTTTTATTACATAAACATGTACAAAAAGACATATGGAACAGAATAAGACATACGAGTACATTATATGCAAGTTGTATGTGTACAATTTCATAAAGTCACAACAATTACTGTTTTTCTTTTCATTTATGTATTTCGTATGATTTATATTAACCCTTAACTAAACAAAACATTATTCTTTAAATTTGAGTATATAAAGTGACCATTGCTTCTTTTTTTAATGTTTGAAACAAAATCCAATTGGTTCAAAGAAGCATTCAAAGAGCATTTTTTCCTTATTTATTTAGTTTTAAAAATATTGATATTAAATTACTTGTACAAGTAGTTTACATACCCCAGATATTGTAAATGTTCTGGACTATGCATTTTTGTTTAACAATGTGAGGGTAAGATCGGTGTACATTACAAAATTTTTTGATTTTATATTAAAATATGGAATTAATTATGTATAGATGACAAATTGAACTTATGAACATATGGCACCAAAACCAAATATTATTGTTAAACTATAAATTATCTACGTGAATGTATGTGCATATACATAATATGTATAGATGTTATTGTAAATCAGAAATATTTCAATATCATATTCGAAACGTTTCCAAAATTCGTTCTACCAACCAAGGCAAGTAGTAGCTATAGGGTTAATAGCGAAATGAAATTATTTGATGAAAATATTTTAATTACATTTCAATGGGTAATAACATTTTGACCTCGTTAATCCTGGTTTAAACTAAACTGTTATATATAACGAAATATCCTTATATTGTCTTCGTTTGTCCAGTTTTAGTGGGTCTAGTTTTAGTAAGTGGTGAGGTCTGGTCTCCAATTTGCATATAATATTGATATAGATTGTTTTGAGATTTTTGCAGAGGCGTTTCTTTCGTTTTGCTCTTCTTGGTATCAAGCAGATCCCATCAGTTTGTCTCCTTATAAAAGTAGGCTTTAGCTTTTAGACTAAGTTCCAATTTGTTATCATGAGTTTTGATTCATTATTTCGTTTTTTTGGTACCGTGGTTTGCCTCGGTTTTATTAGCTCGAATTCCTTGCAGGGAGCAGGTATTAACTTAAAGTCGGTCGAGTTTTAACCATGTTTCGCGTCGTAGTACAGGCTGTCAACTGTATAGGATGCGTGAGTTAACAACGCGTATGTTTTGCAAAATAAAGTTAATAATTATTGATTATCAAGTATATATCAATAATTGATGATATAGCCACGTTTATTAGTTAAGTATCGTTTATTTTACTATACTAAATGCTTGTACTAAGCAATCGTCAATAGGCTACAATAAGTCAAGAATGGTTGCAGTGGCTTGGGGGGGTTACTCCTGTCCCATTCGGTTCCCTTGAAATCTACAAAATCTATAAGCAATCGTCAATATATAAACACCATATTTTCTTTGAAATAGTACCATTTAAAAATCTATGTGGCACTGAGAATTCAAAGTTATTAATTTTCAATTTAAAAAAGACAATTTGTCCTTCATCAAGTGAATGCAAAAGAAATTATCTTCGTACTTTTAACTTTATTATTCTAGTATAATGCACATGAATATTGATTGTGTTACACTACATACACATATGTACTCATATTTGTATGTGTATTACATGTATATGAATTATATTTACAAGGAATTTACATTTTATGTACAATATTTAAGTATGCATTATGAAATGGTCATTATATAAAACTTTTTAAAAGAAAATGTTAAATAGAAAAGTCATTGCCCTTAAACTTTGAAAAAAAAAAGGCACCAAAGTTAATACAAAGTTTTTCTTTTCAATAAAAAAAAAAAAAGTGAAATACAATAATCACAATGGAATGTAGACAACATAATCAATTATTAAAATATCTACATAAAATAAATGTAATATACATGTAACTAAGTACATACATATGTAAGTATGTATGTACTCACAATAAATATGGTTTTCATACACTTATTGTGAAATAAATGAGAAATAAAATTCTTAGTAAAATTTTAAAATAAAAAAAATTCTTTTAAAAATTCTTACCAATTTCATAATCTTCCTTCGGAATCTTATTTGTAACCACTGCTTGTCTACATTCTCGAAAATTTTTACTTTTAAAATAATTATTTAAAAATCTTTCATATTTTATTTTCATTATGGTTACTTTTACTGTTCGTTCGTGTGTTTTAGAGTTCTTTTTAAATATATACAGTAGTAGTCAATAAATTTTAATGTTAAAAAATTCCATTGTAAAAGCAACTAATTTTCAAATGTTATAGAATAAATGTGTACTTGAGCCCTTGGTACTTGCAACATACATATTTGATTTTATAATTTTAATATTAATTATAGGATATTTAATTTTAATTATAGAATTAATAATAATTTTCATTGAAAATTTAAAGTCGACTATGCAAATGAGTCAAAAACAAATTGGAAAATGATTTCCGTTCATGTCACAATGTAAAATTTTTTATAATATAATATTTTCGACCATGCAGTATTGAATGTGCGAAGTTATCTCGAGAGAGACTAAACAAATTTCAAACTGGCAACACTGATCACATTTCATTGAAATGCAGTTGTTTTTGTTGTATTTAGATCGTTCTTCCGTACAATTAATTGTTTTTCAATTAATAACGATTTTTGACTGTAAAATCCAGTATGATGTTATTACTGGCTTTGTCTACATTATTATCTTAAATTGATTTATTGGTGAGAAACCCATGAGTATGTTTCACCTTCCTTACCTTAAATAAAATTTATCAGCTTCATAATAAAAATAATTTAGTTATAAAAAATCATTTTTACACCAATACCATTAACAGCTTTTTAAGTCGGTTATGGAAATTAAAAAATCATTAAATTAATTCTCATCTCTATCATAAAACATAGTTCAAATGGTTCACAACTGGTTCTAAAATAATTTTTTACTTTTTTTCATATTCTTTTCCTTTTTAGTGCATCATCTCCTCTGTCTGGATTATCACAGATGACTAAGATGATGGATGAGTTATTAATGGATTCACACCAATATACCTCACCATTTACTTTTACGAAAATTACAACAACACATCGACCAAGTCGTACTTCTTTAAAGAAAACACAAAGTGCTACATCAAATTCACAACAGAATAATGATAATAGAGGATCAACATATCATGCAAATGATAGTAAAAGAAAATCATCAACATCAGTTCCGAATTCTCGTGTAATCAATCAAAGTGGAAAAACAAATGTTCCAACTCAAGGTAAAGCACTTTTAAAAATATAAATTTACAATACAAAAACAGTTACAGTATACAAAAAACAATTACTTACAAAAAAAATACTTATTGTAGAGGTTCCCCCTCAACCAAGAATAACATCAATCAGTTATCATCCATTAGCATTACAACATTTATCTATGAGCAGTAATTTAAATAATAATAATTATAGTAAATTTCCAAACACCAAATCAACACCAAATAATAATTTATTTGGTTTACAATCACCTTCATCATCACCAAATCAACAAAATTTATTTCCAACAGCAACTGACCGTTGGGTTTCATCATTAAGAAGACGTGATCCAGAATTACAACCAACACTACCATCAATTAATAGCAATAGTAATAATACTAATAATGTTAATGTTCTTCATCATAATTCCAATATTAGTGATCCTACATCAAAACGTGTTCGTAGCACTAAAATATATAATGGTGCATTTTCTCGTAAAAGTCGATCTGTTGAACGTCTTTTAGGACGTAAACCAATTAATCAAAAAGAAATTAAAGTTACAGTAGAAAAGAAAGGATCTGTTGAAGATAATTCAAATTCAGATGATGCAACAACATCTGTTGAAGACAACAGTACATCACAGAGTACACCGAAATTTATACCAAAAAAAATTAAGAGGATGAATGTAACAAATAAACGACCATCATTCGTTCCTATAGGTTATGAACCACATTTAGTAGAAATTCTTGAAAAAGATATTTTACAAAGGGATATTGGAGTTAAATGGGCTGATGTAGCTGGATTAAATGATGCTAAAGCTATACTTCAGGAAGCTGTTGTACTTCCAATTATAATGCCTGATTTTTTTCGTGGTATACGAAAACCTTGGAGAGGAATTTTAATGGTATATAATATTCAATATTAAAAATAGTGCTAATTTTTTTGTAATTGTAATATCATTCAATAGGTTGGACCTCCGGGAACCGGTAAAACTATGATGGCAAAAGCAGTAGCAACTGAGTGTGGAACTACTTTTTTTAATGTTTCAACAAGTACTTTAACATCAAAATATCGTGGGGAAAGTGAAAAATTAGTACGTTTATTGTTCGAAATGGCTAGATTTTATTCACCAAGTACAATTTTTATTGATGAAATTGATGCTTTATGTGCTTCAAGGGGAAGTGATTCAGAACATGAAGCAAGTCGACGTTTTAAAGCCGAATTGCTAATACAAATGGATGGTTTGAATGTGGGAGCTTCCAGTGAAGAAAAACTTATAATGGTACTAGCTGCAACAAATCATCCATGGGATATTGATGAAGCATTTAGAAGACGCTTCGAAAAGAGAGTTTATATTGGACTTCCAAATGGTATTTTTTTTTTTGAAATATAAATAAATTATTATTGATTTTTAATTTACTTCTTCGTCTTTTTTTGTAATATTAGATGAAACACGCTCTGCATTATTGAATTTATGTTTAAAAGACGTTAATATTTCAAATGACACAGATATTGATTCCGTTTGTGACATGTTAAAAGGATATTCGGGTTCAGATGTTCGAAATGTTTGCCGTGATGCAAGTATGATGGCAATGAGAAGACACATTTCTGGTCGTACACCATCAGAAATTAAAAAAATACGTTTAGAAGATGTCGATCAACCAATCACTTTAAAAGATTTTACAGATGCAATTGAAAGAACAAAGAAAACCGTTTCCGAAGGTGATATTGAAAAATTCATTAAATGGATGGAGCAATATGGATCAACATGAAATTAGGCGATATAACATAATATTTAATTTTAAGGCATATTATGTATTTTATTAATGAGTCAAAATATATAAATACCATACATTCATTTCGATATTATTTTATAATACAAAACTATTTACAAGTTTTGTTTGAATATCTTCACGGAAATTAAATATATATGTATGTATACTATGTAAATTAGGCATATGATACATAATGTATTTATGAATGAATGTATGATTATTGTAAATTTAATAACATTAAATTCATGCTCAATAATATTATATTAATAATTTTTTTCAATTTATACTTGGTCACAAAAATAAACGAACATTTAATTCATACATATTGATCTAATTCGAAAACTGAACTTAATACATATTTGATTTTGCCAATTATTAATGCCAAACATTTGTTTCATCTTATATTTTAATGATATTTATACCAGCACCTGTAATTTTTTTTAATTTTTTTGTTTAATAATTTAACGAAAGGTTTCTTACTCACGTGAATTAAATTCCATTGAAAATTAATGCTTCTTAATGGAATATTTGAAATTTTGAAATCTCTGTAACTGTAACTGCTGTAAAGTTTCCATATTGATTTTCTAAGCTACTGTAAAATTTCAATGATTTAAAGCTTGATTTTTGTCGCAAAAATAATAAGAATTATAACCATTTTCAAAATATTTACCCCTTTTTATATTTCTTTAATTATAAGTCAACATTTTGAAAATAAATGAAATAGTTTTAGATTTATTGAAATATAATTTAATCTTTCAAAATAGAAATATTAATATTACTATTTGCTAATTTAATAGTTAAAATTCGAATAGCTAATTTTCTCTTAGAAATCTTCCATTCTCTTAACTAATTAATGAATATAAAATTATAAGAAATTAATTTAAATAACATTGCCGTCCTATTAAATACTACTTTCTTCTTGCTTCAGCTAAAATTTTCTATTTTTAGTTATTTTAAAGTAAAATAAGTACAATTAAATAAAAAGCCCAGAAAATCATAAATATTACCAAACATTTTCTTCCGGTTACAAAAATTCAACTAATTTTTAGCTAAAACAAATATTTAAATAATAAAATCTAAGCTTATTGCAAAAAAATTATGTAATTATTCTAAGACCGATCAAATTGATTCTAACTGAACCATTGCTTTTCAATATCATCCAACGTATGTTAATCAATGTTAAAAAAAAAACCTTTTTGCGGAAATGTTTAAGCTTATGACGATCTAAGTTATTGAAGCCATTTTTATGCCTTACTTTAGCATTATTTTAAGCTTTAAAAACTTATTCTAGTCTACATTTTTATGTAAATACTTTTTAAATTTTTTACTTCTTTTTTCTAGTTAAAATATTGAAAAAGACATTAACCCCTAGAACTATGCAATCGGGAAATATTGAATGGAAATATGAAAAGAAAAAATAATTATTAAATACATATTGTTATACTGAAACTGTTATCTTGATGTTGTTAAACTGTTCGCAAAATTTAAAAGTTTCATATTGTAGTTTTACCACATATTTTATAGAGACGATCGATGTATCCTTTTCTAATCAAATCTATTTGAAAACAATGGTATTTCCATTATAATAAATATTGGTATGTAACAAACTTTATTTGAAATTTTTTTTTAATTTTTAAGCTTCTCAACAATCTTTTTGTATTCAGTTTCAACATCTTCATATTCTTTTTCTAATTGAGACAAGCGTTCTTCTCTTGTAGGCATACTTGCCGTGATCCACTGCGTATCTAGACCAGCTTTTTCCATTCTTTTTATATCGCGTAACTGTTTGTGATGTATTATATTTAATCTCCTTTTAACCTCTAAACGAAAACTTCTCAAATCTTTTGGATCGTATATATTTGTATGATAGTATCTTAAAATTTCATAAATTTTTCTGCATTGACGCGGATTTATCTAAAATTGGAAACAACATAATATTGATTTAAATTGAAATTCATATAAAAATTAGTTTTACTTTATGTTTCTCTCTAGCTTCCTTAATCATTTCTTTTGAGAATCCTTTTTTAATTTCTTCTTTCGAAAATGAATTCAAATCTTTGCATAATTTTGAATCAATATAATTCCGTATTCTGGTAAAATCTTCCGATGGATCTTCTACAGTAATATCAATAACATTTTTTTCCCCTTCATAAAATTTATAAATAGTGTTAAACATTTTAGTTCCTAAGCCTTTTTTCTGAAATGGTGGAAGGATCAACATTTGACTTATTCTTGGTCTAATATGCTCTGGATATGCGTAATATTGATAAACTGTAGTGTAACCAACTGATGCATATTTTACATCGCCATCCGAACTTTTATATTTTTCGTAGCTACAAAATAACAAAAATTTTGAAATAATTTTATAAAAAAAAAATATTTGCCAATATTGCATATCTTGTACATACCATATAAAAAACGTCCATTGCGGATCATCTACATCTATATATTGTGCAGCGTCCACAAACCACAAAATGAAAGTTTGAAAACGATTAAAATACGAAACAAATTTTGAAGCTGTGTTGTCGCAATGGTATATTTCAAAATGTCTTTTTTGTCCCGTCTCCTCATCTTCATAGGTAAGCTCATCAAGTTTCTCACCAAAAGGGCGAAAGTTTTCACTATCTGCAGCTTTTAAGAATTCTTCTAAATTAATGTAATAACATCCATCCGGCAATTTTGATGCTAAAATATTCATAACATCATCAGATTTTAAACCTTTGCTACCAACTTGGTCTTCCACTCGACTGATATAAACCATACCTATTAAAACGAAATTCATGTTATTGGCAATTTAAGTACATTTATCACAATTGTCTAAAAACTCGCTTACCAATGTAAATTTGCATTGAGCCAGCAGTGTACATAATAGTAATTTTCAAATCTTTATAACCAAAAATATTTTCATTTTCCCCAAAAATCTGGTGAGCCATTTCAGGGTGAAAGTTTAAGGTCGGATCATTGACGTCATCTCTGGTTCTGACTAAAAAATAAAAAAAAGATGTGTAAATGAAGAGGTTCGTACATACATATCTACATTTGCTCTTCAACCTTTAATTCAAAATATTATGAAGTGGTGATTTCTTTTAAAAACTAATATTCTATATCTAAATCAGAACATATATCATAAAAATGATATATTAATCTCTAAAACAAATATAATTAACAAAAAAAGTGCAATCAGGTATATATTTAATTTCACATAACGTACATATATCTGAGTACATATCTGAAAAATAATAGTTCTTTTGATATTGTATAGAATCTCAATGATTTCGAAACAGTCAAATTATAAATTACCGCTCTTTTTCATGCGGTTCCTTCTCTTCAATCTATTCAATTAGCGTTATTAGCGACAAACATCTTACAAATATTCGTTCTTTTGTATTTTCTTTAAAAATCTTACCTAATTTGAATTCTACAACTTTAACTGCATCAGATACTAGGTCTCGCAGCTCCTCAATATTAATATCCGTCATGTTTGGAGGCAAATACAATAATATACATTAAATAAATAAAATATTGTATTTTATTTTAATCTCCTTTCGAGTTAGTACAATACTGGAAAAATAACCCAAACTTTAAAACCGAATTTTTGCAAACGGCGGGATTTCAGCTTTTTACAAAGTTTTATAAAGAAGAATGAATTAAAGTAGGTACAATGTAGAGCATTTATTACTTAAGTCTATTGTTTTTTTTCTTTTGATTATTCAAATGTCAAAATTTCTTCTTACAGTACTGCCATATTCTTATGAATCTTAATAAATATTACCAGACTGTAACTATTAGGGGTGTGTATATTTTTCATTTTATGTTGAAATATTGTATTTTTTTAAATTCGCAAAATTAAGAAAAATTTTAATAAAAATGGATTACTTATACCTCCTAATAAATAAAAAGCTGATTTTCCTTGTTTTTTATACCCTGAATAAATATTTGAGTATTACGTATTATATTAAATGCGATTTATTTCTAGCAGTTTTTCTGATTCGCAAAACGATTGTTTTGGCGAATTCATTAAAATGGTATTTTACCTCGCAATTTTTTCGGGAAAAATGGCACGAATCGGATTAAATAGATTTCTCAAAAAATTTATTTCATGGAAATAGAAATTACTATGAAAAGAAGGTAAAGCAAATCAGATTAACGGTATTGCTTTAAATTAATTGTAATAAATTTTAAAACAATAATTGTAATATGAAAAATAAACGTTATGAAAAGCGTTTTTATAATATTAAATTTGCAGCCTAGGTGCTGCAAAATAGAATACCAACAAGAGCGTACAAGATAATGTACTAGTCAATTCATATTAACTTGGTAACGTAACGTAATTATAATGCTTTATTGTAATTATAATATTTTATGAAAAGATTAATTTATTACGCCCATTCGCATATTACAAGGTAAGTATGTACAAAAGTGCATTATATAATTAGTTTTTCAATATTTTTCTAATTAATTAAATAGAATAATAATAATAGTTATAGACACATAAATGTACATACTTGTTTACACATGTATACGTATTTATCAATATGTGAGCAATTTAAAAATCCTATTACGCATTAGCTCCTAAATTCATTATACAATGCTTATATATTAATTTTCTTCACCGCTTCCACCATCATCACTTCTACTTTTATCGGTACCGCCATCTCCATCACTTCCACTTTTCTTGTCACTACCACTGTCGTTTCCTCCTCTTTCACTTTCATCATTAGATTCTTCATCTGAATCTCGCAGAGCTTTACTAACTTTCGTTTTATCTATCTTTTTACTTCGCCTGGCTTCAAAATCAGACCCGTCATCTTCATCCGAAGAATATATAGCAGCTCCTTGTCGTTGATTTTCCTCTTTTTTGCCTTTTTTATTATATTTGTTTTTAATAGCATTCAATGATATTGCATTTTCGTCATCACTTCCATCTTCTTGATTGTATGATGAATTTGCTCCAGCTGATTGTCCAGCACCTCTACCTCCAGATGCACCGCTTCTTTTTGGTTTAATGGCATGTTGTTGACGCATGGCTTGACGTAATTTCTCTTCTTCTTTTTTGATATGATATAATCGGTCTGCTGTTGGGTCTTTACCGACCTGTGTTAATATTTTTATTCCACTCGTCTTTTGCGATCGATCAGCCAAAGACATAGTCATTTTTCGATGTGTAAATGATTCAGTAGAATGGGGTCTAAAAGTTAGTTTTGTTCTAAATACAGCCTGACCTTGTAAACCTGCCCCTTGACGAATAAATAAATGGTTGTGGTCACCTTGGAGTGGTTGCTTGTAAACATCAAATATTTCATTTCCTAAATGTAAACTCATACTGCCATCTGACCATTTAACAAAGCGTGCATTAGATTCTTTGACCGTTTCACCTTGGCGATTTATAACATCCCGCCATCGTATCGTATTACTGACTTTTAATTTAATTCGCTGCCTACCCTCTTCATCCATAGTCTCTTCTTCGTCAATTTCATCTTCATATGTCTCATGATCAAATGGTCTAGTTTCAACTGACAAGAAATTAGGAAGTTTTACGAAATGAATATCTCTACCAAGATCTGATACAATTCTTGCTATTTCAACGTCTATTCTTGTTTCAGGTATTGGTTCAGGTTCCTGTTTGTCTTCCTTTTCTCTATCAGGAGTGCCTGATCTGGATCTTCGTGGAGATGATCCGCTGCGAGACCTTCTAGATCGTGAGCTACGCCTAAAATGTGACACTTTTCAAAATTTTCTCTTTATTCCATTACTTTACAATTTACCTTGAGCCTGAACGTGATCTAGATCTAGATTTTGATTTAGATCGTGATCTTGAACGTGACGGAGTACGAGATCTGGATTGCGCACGACTACCGCTACGTGATCGTTTACTTCCCTTACTTGCACGTGACATTTGTTCATCTTCGTCTGATATATCATCAGCATCACCGAATAAAGCATCAGCTGTTATTCCATCTTTTTTGTTCGACTAAAACAGAAGATGTCACATTTATATTATTTTTACAGCCATAAAAATATACCTACCTCTTCTTCATCAGTATCTGAATCTATGATTTTAGAAACTTTTTTCTTTTGTTTAGAACTTTCATTTTCATCTTCAGAATCAGAGGCAAGTGGACGCTTTCGTTTTTCTTTTTTACCAATTTGACTTCCTGAGCTTTCAGAAGCACTTCGAGTTGAACGAGGAGTCCCACCTTTTGAGCCAGTTTTAGATCTTGATCGTGAACGAGATTTTGATTTACTTCCACTGCGTGACCTTGCTTTGTCATCTATTTGTAAAGCAGGAGATTGAGATCGTGATCCTGAATGAGATCTACTTCGATTGGTTGCAGGTGTTTCAGATCTCCTGCTTTGAGGAGTAACACTTCTGCTTTGATTTTTTCCTGATCCATGAGACCCTCTACTGGCAGATCGACGTTCTTTCGATGGTGATCTATGGGATTCATGGCTAGGTGATTTTACATTCTCAGCATCTTTATCTCTTGAAGAACTTCTTGATTTTTGACTGTTGTGAGATTTATCACTATGATGACTTCCTTCACGAACATCATTTGGACTTGGAGAATGATTACTTCGATGGGAGCCAGTTAAAGGAGATCCAGATCTGCTTCTCGATGCAGAAGTCCTAGGAGATTTTTGTTCTGGAGCAGGAGACTCAGAATGGACTTTTGCAGGTGAATGTGAGCTTTTTCGTGAGCTTCGAGTAGCATGACTGCCAGATCTATTACTTCTGGGACTTCCTGAAGCACTTCTATTACTACCAGATCCAGAATTCGACCCATCTGAATCTGGGGTTCCACTTCTTGAACGACTCGCGTTACTTTTTGGAGATCTAAATTGCATTAATTTTTAATATCAAAATAGTTTCAATTTACAATTATTACTCTTGGTTATTTTCTACAGAATATCCAGGTGTGGGAGCAACTTGAGGTTGAGGACTATAGCTCCGGTCAGAACCAGAATCCGAACCTGAATCTACAAATTTTTAATATTCATTATTATGCAAAAATGCTATACGTATTTAATAATAATAAAATTATAAATCAATTACCAGAATCCTCTTCAGCAAATGTCATTCTCTTTTAAAGATGAATTTAACAGGAACTATTTAAAATTAAAGAAAACTGATATTAGAATTGAAATATCAAACCCTAAATAAATTTGTAAAACAAAAATAAGCGGCGTTCACAAATTCATATAAAATCAAAATTTACGATATTACACCTTTATGACATTTGTCTTTATTAACAGTTTTGATGAAACAATATTGCCAGTATGTATTTTTTAATTTTTTATAAGTGCGTATCGACAAATATTTTGACATCACACAATAATATAAATACGTACGCTTTTGATTGCGTTGCCATTTTTTTTTGCATCACGATAAAATTAATATTAAAAACGGATTGAAGGGGCCGTGCATAAAACGCAATACATTACATATGTAATTAAAACTTGTTAATAATAGGTTTTCGAATCTAGCTCATTATTTTTGTTTTAACTTTCGGAATACAACTTAAAAAAAGATTTTTTATCTATTTCCTTTTTAAAATTTTTCATCTTTATCTCAATGTTTTTTCGTTCCTGGCTCTAATTAGAACTAAACATGTGAAAACAATATTTACGGTGCATGAAGAATAAAAAACTTTTATTGAATATAAACTCATTAGAATTTTGAAATTTTTATTAGAAGAAATAATTCAAGTGTTTGTATTATTTTCGCTTGTTGTTTCAGATTTAATTTAAGATTTTAACGTTCATGTTTCGTTATATTTCTTTTACTTCAACAAGCAAAATATATATTAATGTATTTATTATTAATTATAATACTGTACGAAATTGTTATTTTTTTCCTAATTTCACTTTATCCTTTCGTAAATGTCAGATGAATAAGATGAAAAATATCTTGGCATGTTATTCGTAACGACAACATTTAAGCATTTTCATGTCGTATTCGCGTAATCTACGAGGATTGTGAATAACTGTCTAATGAGATAAATACTATACGTCAATATTTGACATTGAAGTACAAGTACGTATTTGCGTTGTACAATTTTTGAAAACATATGTCACTCATTAATAACAACCAAATTGTCAATTCTTCTAGTCAGAAGCAAGTATTATAAAACATTATTATTTACCAAAAAATATTGCGTACAAAGTTTTTTTTTTCGAAAGAGTTAAAAATAAATAGTTCAGGCGGGAAAAATTATCAAATAAATCAAATGACTTAAATTTTAATATGTTTAAATTTATCACTCGTCGCCTAAAGGAAACCGTAGATGGAACTTGCTACTTTGTAGATTCCGCCAAGGTAAATACCAGTTCGTACGAAAATAAACGAAACAATAGGATTTTTTTTTCAATAAAAGCAAAATAAATTCTACATCGAAAACTTTCAGGCTTGGGTTTGTGGTGTAGCACAACAACAAATTCCACATAATGATGTGAGTAATTCATACCACGATAAGCAAGCTGGAAGATTTTGTGAAAACTTTAAACCTCACGGGCTACAATGCAGCTTTCAAGAAGCTTTTGGAAAACATATAGGTTTTCCAAAAAACTTTAAAATAGATGAGCAATGTCAAAAATTTTCTCATACTAGTTCCAAAGGTTCTTCCTCAAGCAATAGCGGCAAAGAGAGCGGTCAAAAGTTTAGAGAGGCGGATCAGTTACGAGGTGACATACTGGGTGCTTTAACATGGGTAATTATTTTGAAAGTAATCAGGCGAAAGTAATTACAAATTCTTTTAAAATTTATCTTAATAGAGTGGTGCGATAATGTGTGGCTGGTATGCTACTCAAATTCTTTGTATGCAACGAAGAAAATTTGGTTGGGAAAATACTAGCCAAAACCGGTACATAAAGTATTTACAAGTTTCTACCAGAGCCGTTCATACTAACGTTATTGACTCTTATCTTGTCCGAGCAACACCAATTTTAAAACCTGATATCATTAATAGTCAGTTTATCGAACAAATCCCAAAAAGAGAACGAAGCCCATCGATCAGTTCTAAACTAACTGAAGAAGAATCCATCTTTGAGAGCTTCTATTTGAAAAATTTGGAAGACATCTCTTTCGGTAAAAAAGCTAATGCAGACTCTCCAAAATTAGACCTTTTAAATAATTCGTCAGGTGATTCTGGATCCACTGCATCGAGTTCTTCGAGTGTAACTTTTTGTGCATTTATAATTTAGAATCAAGTAGTAATATATGTATATATCTTTTTTTTAGCGTCAATCAGTTTCTGAAGCTGTGAACGATCTCATCGATTATATTGGAGATTGTGAAAATAACATGGCTTTGGAATACATTCATATTGGTGATTACAAGAAAGCTGTTACCCACTTAAAATTAGCTTCGAATCATCATCATCCGGGTGGAATTTTTAATTTGGGAGTTTGTTATGAAAAAGGTTTGGGCGTTAAAAAAAGTTTACGCCGCGCAATGGAATGCTATCAAGTGGCGTCTGGCTTAGGTCATCCTACCGCAATATTTAACTTGGGAGTATTTTATGCACAAGGACTTGGCGGTTTGAAACAGGACAGAAATGCAGCAGAAAAATGTATTACAACAGCCGCCAAGTTAGGACAACCCGAAGCTATAAATTTTTTAAATTCTATTGAAAGAGAAAACTTAAACCAAGCTTCAATGGTAAATAAAATTCAGTTGAAACTTTAAGCAATTTGGTCAATGAATTCAAAACATTAGTTCTTATATTTTTGTTAATCTTTAAAAGGATATTTTCGTTTCTTTAAAATTTACATAAAAAATTTTTTTAATGTTCTTAGGATTTAGGAAAATGTAAATGAATTATTGTCCAATAAAAATTTTTGAAAAAATACTGTACAACTTGATTTGAGTTTTTTTAATAAAATAGTCATGAAATTTAATTCCAATTTGTAAAGTTCTAAAATTGTATTCATATTTGGATTTTTTGGACGTATTTATGTACATATATGTATACGTGTGTGGATATATTATACATAATATTACGTATATCTGTTGCATTGTAATTACAGTTTTACGAAATACTCTAAATACAATTGTGAAATCTAGATGTCAGATCAAACTGTTATTTTATATACAAACTAATAAATATACTTACATACATATGTACATATACATATACTTATTTTCTACTTACAACTTGTTCATACTTGCAAAAATATGATATTTATACATAACGGCATTATGTAAATCGAAAATAATTTCACCATAATTTATTTTTTTTTTGGCGGAATAATCCTAGGTGACCATATCTACTTTTTTTTGCAGGTATGACTCTTTTCATAACTTTACATACTTTTATTTTAATTCGATGACACATTAAATTTTGTTATAAAACAGATAATGAAAATAATTTTGTAAAAACACATACATACATACATACATGGGTCATTTTAAATACACACCTTCATACATAAAATATATAATGTAGATTATACATTAATAGTACGTAATCTATATACCCATTAGATTATTAAAATTATCTATACATATCCATACATAGATTAATAAACTATTAATAGATTAAAATTTTTATAAATAAAATATATAAATTTTTGCATAACTTATGTGTATATTATATGTACATATGTACTTCGTAAATTTGTTCTCAATATTTACGAGATTGAAAATACAAAGCTTTAAAAGCTCTACACTTATAATTTTGTACATAGATCTTTTAAAGCTCCGCAGTTCTAACCATGAAATTCGAAATTTCAAAAAACTTCTGCATCATGCATGTACATACATATATACATCAATAATATGAATTTATGTACATATATCAATTGATAACTATCAAAGTACATACAATATCAATTATATATTTTTATTATTCATTTCTTAGAAGCTTGAAACAGAATTTATTTTGGCATTTTCGCATTTTTAATATTTCATTTAAAATGGAATATACATACTTACATATACTATGTACAAAATAACTTTAAGCCTACGATGTTCTAATGATTACATAATGTATTTTCTTTCAGTTCAAATTTTCATATACATTACATATAATGCATCTCTTACATACAATATATACATATAATGTAGATATGTATTGCGAAAATTTTCTAAATTTCAAAAAAGATTTTTGATATTTTAATTGCGCTCTACTTAAGTACCGCATTAAAAAAATTTTAGTTACTTTCTTAAACATTTAATTAAGAATTCGGGTTAATTACGATCTAAGCAATTTTTCTATACTTTTAGGTTTTCATTTTGTAAAAATCATGAAGTTAATCGATCAGGTCCACCAATATATTGAGAAAGAGTATATAAAACTCAAATTGAAAAAAAGATCAATTAAGAAAAAGAGTTCTGATTTGGAAGTGAATAAAAAGCGAGATGAAAAAGCGAGATACGCAATTAGATTGTATATGCTTGCCATAGTGTTTTTATACCCAAGAGAATACAAAATATAGGATTGGGTCGGCCATATTGTGGAACGGGTATTTTCGATTACTTATTTATGATTATATAAACAATATTAATTATTCACAATCGACAATACACTAGAAATTACTTTTATTTCTAGTTTTAATTCTTCTGATTTTACTGTTATTTAAAAATATGTACATATGTATAATGAAACGTTCCATATTGCTATTAATAAAAGATTTTTATTTTTGTGTTTTATTTTCTTTCTTTTTGCTTAAATTATTTTACTTTTACAAATGTTTTTTAAATAAGTTAATTAGAAATGTAAAAAAAAAATTATACTTATTCATTTAAAAAAAAAATGTTTTATTTCGTTTTGTTTATTCAATATATAAAATTTCTAGTAAGTGCGATAAAAAATGCAATTTTCTTTTTTTTGTAATTTGAAATCATCAAAATTGAACAAAAATTTTGTTTTTCTTGTCTCTCCTCTTTAATAAATCGATTAATCGACAGATTACCTGTTTAATTTTTTTTTAACTTTGATTATTGTCCCTACTTTCTAAATTGTAATCTATTTTGAATACTGTTTTATAAATATTTTAGTAATTTTAGTACAATTTATTATTTTTTTTTTAATTAAGCCGCATTATCATGAACATTTTTATTAAAATTTATTCTTCAGTTATATGTGAAATTTTCTATTTTCTTGTCTTATATTTTTTAAAAGAAAAATATTACAAAAAACAATTAAAAAATAAAAACATTCTTAATAAATTTCAATAATAAAAAAAAAAAAAAATTTACTGAAAACAATTCAAAATACATAACAAAAAATTAGAATTAGATTATTATTTAGTTAAATTAAGAGCAAGAAATAATTATTAAAAAAAATTACATAGTACATACATATACACAAAAATTATAATGTAATTTAATATACGACCAATGTTTATTATTATAAAAGAAAAAATTAATTGTAATAATATTGGCAGCAACAAGCTCGTATGGCAGTTAAAATATACAAGAAACAATTTAAAATTAAATTTAAAATTATCCAAATATGTACATTAAGAAAAAATTGTATTTTGCAAAGTTTTACACAAAATTGTTGAAAATTTGATCTGATATATTTTGGAGTTATTGAAATATTGCAGGTGTTCAAACACTTCGATAAATTTTAATAAATTAACTTAATTATTTTCTATATGTATTTTAAATATAAAAGCATTGTTGATAAAAATGATATGTATAGTAACTTTCAATTGGTACTCAGTATAACAAAGTTTATTTATTAAACAAGACTATTTCACTGATTATCCTTTTCTATTTCATATCAAAATAATTTTTATGTTAATCAATTTGTAAGAAATATTTGATAAGAAATTTGAAATTTTAGAATGAATTTAAATTTAATTTTTTTAATATAAATACTCTCAATTGTTTTAAAAGAAACAATAATCCTATTGTTAGAGAAATTCTAGATTTAATAAATAACATTATGTTATTAATTATAAACATTATCATAATCGGCAAGGCCAATGGTATTTTTGACGAATTATTTTAAATTTTTGATCTGTAAAATCAAAAATCATTTATCATAATTTGAAATGGTTTGGTTAATTTGCCAACTATAATTCGACTGACTTCGCCGATCATAATAAGGTAGTCTTTCAAAAATTATAAACTTAATTCGATAATAATTACTAAATATATTTTATATTAATATTATTAAATTAAAATTAATTTGTAATAATCTTTTATATTCCAAAAAAATCTTTTATATTCCAAAATATTGTATTAGTAAAGGACTATTACTATATTGTATTAGTATTCGAAGATTAATTACTTTAATTATAATTGTCTCGAAGTATATTGTTATTTATTTCTTTTGGAATTGATGGAAATTTATATAAATTTAAAAGTTTACATTTAATTAACTTATAAGTTAAAAAATTAAAAATTTAAAAAAGGTTTCAGAATCTCAAGAAATATCAAATTCAAAATTTTACAAAATTTTCATAGTGGATTTGAATCTAATGTGTTTTAAACTCTGCATTTTTGTGTTATTGATCTATTGAGAACTTAATTGATGTATATTTACGTATGAAATTTAGTAAGTACATAATTTATATTTATAATTTCTAACATTCTATAATATTTTTATTACAATATTAAATAAAACATGGTCGTATCTACATTTCTTTTTTTGTTTTTTATTTTAAATTTTTTATTTTATCAAATCTCGTTTTTAAGTCACATTGTATTATATTTAATTATTTATTTTTTTTTATTTACTACTTTTTTTAATAAGTATTTTTAGTCTATTTTAAAAATTTAAATATTCATGTATCATTTTTATTTTATTTTTTTCTTTTTTTAGCTGAGTTTTTATTTCTTAATAATATTGCTAATTGGTATTTTACTTAAAAATTAACAAATTTTATAAACATTATTATTATAAGAATTCTAATTTAGGATCAATTAAATTATATATTTATATATATATTATGTATATTTTATTTTCATATATTTTATGTATAGTTATGTATATAATTTAAACAAATTTTTTTTTTTTAAAGATAACTAACTTATTGTATTTTTTCTTTTCCTTCTTCTTTTTCTTCTATATTTTGTAAGAATCATAATAATATTAATAATAATAATTCAAATCTTAAATATGCCAATAAATTCCTTAAAAACTACGAATTATCCGGAGAAGATCAGCATGCCTAAAATGATATTGAATAAGAAAAAATGAAAATGTTAATAAACTTTAAATTATTTTTTTTGTTAATTTCTTTTTTAAAAAAATTTATATGTAAAATAAATGAATTTTGTTCTGAGAAGAATAATAATTAAAAAGATTTTTTTTCTTAATTGTTTTAATAAAAAAAAAAAATCATTCCTTTTTTAAAATTATTTTTGAATCATAAATTAATATTTGTTTTAGTGAATCAGTATTCAGATGTAGCCAACAAATTTTACAAAGTATATGTTGAATGAAATTCTAAAAATTGAATATTTTGCAATATGTTCATACATACATACATGAATATGCAATAAGTTTGTATATATATATAATATTATAAAAGTAATTTATATATTAAAGTTTGATTTTAGGTACTTTTACACGTTCAACATTGCTCATGAATATTGTTTAATTTGATCAAAAGTTTGATGTTTAAACGAGCATGTGTTTGGTTTGAAGTGAAAAAGAGAATGCTATCTGAATTTTCATGAAACAAAATTCATTAACAATGTTTGATCTTGTAAATGTTGTCTGACATGGTAGGGCAAACTCTCACATGCAACTACAAATATGATTCTTATAGGAGACAAAAGAGTCTTATAAGTTACAGTATTGGAATAAATATTTGTCGATATATTAAAAAAGTTATTCTCAAAACATTTACTGCACTTGTTGTGCATTTTTACTCATTGAAACAAAAAAAAAAAATTTAATTTAATTCCCAGATTGGAATTATATTTCCTCTATATCACTTGAAAACAATTTTTCTTTTATTAAAATATCTTTAATACTTGAATTTAAAATTAATTTCAATAAAGTAGGGGCTAGAAAGAGAAGGTACACTGTAAATGAATTTGGTTTTTTTTCCCTTTTAGAATTCATATATTACCTGCAGTGGTTGTGCTGTCATTTCATAACCACCTTTACTTCTCATTTGATTTTGCAGTGCATCCAAATGATTTGTAGATAATTCGATATCAGTTGAACCAATGTGCGCTGTATGAACAAAATTTGTTGGATTACCAATCATAGATCTATCTATATGAAGTCTTTTATGTCTCCGTCTTGATGGTGAAGGTGTCTGATGAAAACAACATGAAAATAATAACCATATTTCATTTGGACTTGCTGCCATTTTTAATATATTTTTGTTTTTTTTGTTTTAAATTAATTCTCCAATCCAAAATGTGAAAAAAATTAAATATAAATTTTTAAATCGTCTTTATTTGTATATGTAATTTGTCTGAAAAGAAAATAAAATGATAAAATATTAAAAAAAAATTTTTTTAATAAAATTAGTAAAAGTGTTAGAATATTTCTATATAAAATTAAGTTTAATCATAACTTTTAGAAAATAACAGAAGCTTATTGTTTTATGTATGCATGTAACATTGTTTTTATTTGAAAATTGGATAATAAAACGAAGTGGAATTCTGTATCAAGTGTGGGTAGTAACAATTTTTTTGAAAGCTACAACTGCAAATAGAGATATTTCACTTGACTGAAGTGAAAATTTTAGAGAATTGAAATGTGATAATTCAATATCGCATTTTTAATGCTCTAAAGTTAAAAATAGAACAAGAACGATTTTCTGCGGCGAAATGTCAGAATTCATATAGAATACATTTATCTAAATGGGACTGCTAGAATTAAGCGAAATTATAATCACGAATTTTATCATGTGCGTGTGACATTATATGAAAATTACTATTCAATTGATTTTGCTGTTTCGCTCTTGTTCTGGGTTAACAACGAAAATCGTCCATCGTTGCCATTCACCGCTTCGGTTCTATTTTCACAGTAATTTCGATAGTTTAATTATTAAACAACCTTTTTGAGAATTATCAACTTTTTATATTGTAATTATTTAAACTTTGATTAAATTTGATTTCCTTCAACAAAATATTCAAATTGATTTTAATTTAGAAATGCGTGCGCGTACTGCATTTTCAGAAGAACCTTATATGCAAATAATGTCGAAATACTGCAATAATTTCTAAATAGAAATTATTTCTTCAGATTAAAAAATGAAAAATAAATTTCAAAGAGATAATAATTATGTATAAAATATTTATATGTAATTAAAAAAATTATTATTAAAGCTAAACTAAAATATTAGTGCCTGAATTTAATTTTATTTTCCCTATAAACTTGAATTGAAATTCTTTTTGTTTTCTCAACGAAATAAAAAATTTAAATAACTATTTCAAATATTTCAAATACATAAACAAATTTGACAATAAACTCGAATATATTTTCACTTTTAATACAAAATAAAAATAAATAAAACTTTCAATTAATTTATAAATAGAATAATTATTTTGTAAGAATATTTTTATTTCGTACGAATGTGAATTTTTAAAAGAAAAAATATTATTTCCACACAATTTTTAAAATATAAGAAATTAATGTTGTAATCATATATAAATATTTAAAACAAAATTAAAAAATTAATGAATTATTTAAAAATACATCATCAAATTTGAAGGCATGATGTAATTTATGAACATAAACCATACACTTGAGCCTTAATTAAAAAGTTTTAGTGCTATTTAAGTAGACAAGACATAAAAAAAATTAGCAAAATGATAAAAAAAAACTTAATTGAATCGAATCGATTTTATCGTAAAGATTAGTAATCGTAAGTATTTGAAACTATTTTCGATATATTATGTAGCATTTATTTTTTGTTTTGCTTTTCTATTGAAAATTAAGAAATCTTTTTGTAGATCATCTATAATCAATCTTCATTTTTTATTTATTTTTAATTTGCTTGTCTCTATATTGAATATCAAGTTCAATAACTTTCAAAACATAAAAGTTTGAAATATTTAAATTTTTAAGAAGAACATATTATAAAATGCTTTAGTAAATTAAAATTTCGTTATAATAATTGTCTAAAACACTGTTAGCATTTTATGAAAAGTGTATGATGACTACAAATTTTATATGAGAAAAATTCTGACAAATTCTGACAAATTTTTCAGAGAAAAATGTTTCTGTGACATCCAAATTGCAAGTAAAACACAACGTTTTCAAAATTTTGTGATCTAAATTGTAAACTGAAAAATTTTAACAACATCAACTGATCGAAAATCTTTAGGAAACGTCAAATAATTTAATGCAACAATAAAGCAAACCATGCATTTTAAAATTTGACTATACTTTACTTAAACTTTCAAAACTTTTAATAGGCCCATGTATTTATTATATGTTAAAAACATTTACAATTGATGTTTTACGAAAATAGTGATCCAAAACTTGCCTTTTGTTTACAATGTATTGTTTAGCTTAGGTAACAAAAATTATTAATAAATTTAGCTTAGGTAACAGACGATTTGTATTTTTTGCATAATTTTTTTAAGTATTTTTTTCTAAAATCAAAGGAAATTTCATAGGATTTTCTTTTTAAAAACTTCAAAAAAATTAAAATTGAAAACTATCACCTTATTATTTCTCAAAATAATTTAAAAACAAAATCAAAATGTCAAAATTTTTTGAAATGTGCTAATGATTTTTTTTTTATTTTAGTTCACGTATTAGTCACTAGGTCCTGCAAGGAGTTGCTGAATACTAAATAAATAATAAATAAAAATAACTATATACAATACCACGACAGGCCTAGGTGGTCTATGTTTACCCTGCTGGGGGCCGCGTTGACCTAACCTAACTTAACCTACATATGTATGTAAAAGGAATTTTAACATTATTTGAGATATGTATGTATGAATGTTTTTGTATTGAAAAAATTTAAAAAATGATACTCGGAACTCAAATTTTTTAGTGGCTTGTAGTGTGTTTAGTGACTTGGTCATCTTAAACACTTTAACAATTTATTTAATTAGAACAAAGTATTTTGTATAGAATTGGCTCTTAAATGGAATATTCATTGCCTCCCAAAAAATATGTGTTAAAAAAGGTTTTTAAAAATAATTTAGAATTATTAAATTTTCTTAAATTTTTTATTGCAAATACGAGTATTTTCAAATTATCTCATACTTTTATGGTGTTTTTTTTTCTCCAGAGTAATAAATGAAGTATTCGGCGCGGCGCAGTGATTGACGTCGCTAATGCTAATAAAGTGCTAGCAAAAATCAATTTATTCTAAAGAAAGTTATTAAATCAAATTTGCAAAGGCAATTATACATACATGTGTGAATAACGGAGATCAAACAAAATAATTTTTCAATTTCAAATAATTTTTGAATGACTTCGAAATTCATAAATTCTTTAAGTTCATACAATACATATGTATATATTTACATATTTTTTTAATGCGTTAGACAAACCATTAATCCACTTCCTTAAAGTGTTCCGAATAAATTAAGCTTAACTAGATCAACCAACAAAATAAGCAAAAATTTGATTGAATGTTAATTGATTTTTAAAATATTATGTACATGCATATACATATATACATAATGTATAACACGAGGTCACAGAAAATACACAAAAGGAGGACAGACCAATTAGTATGCTAACATTTAAGTAAGCAAGTACATTGCTATATGTTTCTTTTAAGTTTTTGACACAATAGAGTCTGTGTGTACGTACATACATACACATGCTTCCATGTAGGTAACTAAATCATAATAATTGTTTATGAACTTCAGTTACTTACTTATACTGGTAGGTTTATGTATATAAATTACGCATTAATTTTTACCTTCAAAACTAATTCATAACAATTTGTAATGATATAAGAATTAAATTTGTAAAATTTTTTGATTTAAGATTAAATGAGATTAAGATCCTAAGTGATGTAGATATTTTAAGATTATTTTTCTTAATCAGAATAAATATACCAACTTTTATGTCAGTAAAAGTTTGAGTCATGTAAAATATTAACTGACCATGTTACTGAGAAAATTAGCTAATAATAAATATTATACAAGTATGTACATTAGAATTTTACATTGTGAGCAAGTTTTGAACTTAATTTAAATAGTTTTTGAAATTTGAATTTAAATTCTATACCTACATACTATTTCAATTTAACATAATCAGCAAAGTCATTTTATCATAATTAGCATACCATGGTTTTATATTTACAGTTGCAATTAGCTAAATACTATTTTCAATTATCATGATTGAATTTAGCCTTCGAGTTTTATCTGTAAGATTTTTTTGTATGCAAATCTATTCCAAGATATCTGAGGGCTAACCTTTTTTTAATAAGTATCCAATGAGTGATTAATGATTATAACTATATAACTGCATAACTGTTTGGTATTCCAATCGGTATTAATTACCTGCCGATGATTATTAACGCAACCAACAGCACGCACCAACAGAAATTTCTTAAAAAGCATATTAATACATATTCTCTTCTTGATTACATAATTGAAAAAAAAAGTTAAACTTCAACCCTACCCTACTCTACTTAAGCTGGTAACCCTACCACTCATATAGATTTTTTATTGTACATATGCGTGAGTTGTGTGTTTACAATTTTTTTTAACAATAAGTACGCAATTATTTAAAAAGAAAAAGACATTCAATTATATTTTGTTCAGTGGCTGCTAATTAATAAAAAAAAGAAAAAATTGAATTGAATTTGCTTCTTTGATTTCCTAAGAAATGATGACGTCAAGTGAGTGGTTTTCTTTGCGTAAAAGCAAAAATAAGAGCTTTAATCTTCTTTACCACAGACAATAGCAATAAAACTTGTTTTTTCTCTTTAGAAATTATTTTTATACTTTTAATAATGAATGGTTCTTTACTTTTTACAATAGTCATTTAGCTTAGTAGTGAAAATTTTAGAACTTTAATATATACATATAGTACATAACATCTTGTTCAACATAAAATTCTAATTGGATATACATATGTATGCAGGTATCTCTGTTCGTCTGCTTCGACAATAACTTAACACTAACAGAAATAATTTGCCAAATTTTTGCAAGTTCAATATAATATTAAATTCAATACATAATTGAATTTTATTTGAAGATGATCGAAACAACGGGTTGCCTAGATGTTGTAAAAAATTGTCCATCTTCTCCTTCAGCATACTTCACTAAAGAAATAGGAAATATTTAAGTTATAATGTTTGAATGAAGCAAATTTTGTTAATAACAAGACTACTAGTTAAAAAACTAAAGGATGACATGAATTCATGTGGTTTATTCATCATCCTAACTCTTAGAATAATTCAATCGTACGGGTATCACATAATTCAGACTGGTCAACTCTACTTAAGTATTCTTGTTTTAAAATGAAAATTTTCACAAGTTTTTATGT